GTTTTGTCCTTCTGGAGACTCCTTAAATTTTAGTGGGAATATCGGGATTGGATGGATTTCTTCCTTCCCCCCAGGCTGTGCTGGGACACAACCAGGAAGTCAATCCCTGTCCCCAAAAATCTTGGGAATTTTGTTCCTTTTGTTCCTTTGTCTCATTTCCTGTGTGGTCCCGTGTGGAGAATCCTGGGAAAACCACCTTCCAAAGGGCCGGAATATCCCTGAAAACACTCCAGTTTTTTCCTGGGAGCTCCATCTCGCCCTCCCAAGGAGAACCATCCTTTGGACCAGGAGAATCCCCAAAAATCCCCTGGAATTAGAGCTGGAGGAGCTCCCGGGGGGATTCTGGTGCAGAAGTTCCGCTCCAGGAATTCGGGATTTTTCCTTGGAGATGAGTAACTCCGGGATCTGTTCCAGGAGGAAGAATTCATCGACTGGTGGAGCAAGTTTTATGCTTCCATAGGAGAGAGGGAAAAATGTGGCTCCTACCTGGAAAAGGGCTTTGACACCTTGAAGGTGAGTGGATTCCCTCATTTCTGGCTCTCCATGATTTTTTTGGGAATTTTAGGCTTTTTTTTTCCCCTGCTGGGTTGAAAAAAAAAAATGAAACATTTCCCCAAGGGGAAAAAATGGAATATTTTCAAAATGAATGTTGGTTTTAAAATGTGTATTTTTAAAAAAATAAATAGCGTTTTAAAGGTAAGGATTGTTTTAAAAATATATTTTATATTTAAATATAAATATAAATATTATGGTTTTAAAATATATTTTATATAAAAATATAAGTATTGTTTTAAAATATAATTGATATATAAATATAAATATTATGGTTTAAAATATATTTTATATAAAAATATAAGTATTGTTTTAAAATATAATTGATATATAAATATAAATATTATGGTTTAAAAATATATTTTATATAAAAATATAAATATTGTTTTAAAATATAATTGATATATAAATATAAATATTATGGTTTTAAAATATATTTTATATATAATATAAATATTATGGTTTAAAATGTATTTTATATATAAATATAAATATTATTGTTTTAAAAATGTATTTTTTATATATAAAAATAAATATTGTTTAAAAATATATTTTATATATAAATATAGTTTTAAAAAATAATTTATATAAAAATATAAATATTATGGTTTAAAAATATATTTTTATATATAAATATAAATGTTATGGTTTAAAATATATTTTTATATATAAATAAAAATATTGGTTTAAAATATATTTTATATATAAATATAAATATTGGTTTAAAATATATTTTATATATAAATGAAAATATGGTTTAAAAATGTATTTTATATATAAATATAAGTATTGTTTTAAAATATATTTTATATATAAATATAGTTTTAAAATATATTTTATATACAAATATAGTTTTAAAATATAATTTATATATAAATATAAATATTATTGTTTTAAAAATATATTTTATATAAATATTGTTTAAAAATATATTTATATATAAATATAAATATTATTGTTTTAAAATATGTTTTATATATAAATATAAATATTGTTTTAAAATATATTTTATATGGTGTTTATTGTAGGGTCACCAAACTCTCCATCCCCATCCTTTGTCATGGGCTGGTGTTTATTGTAGGGTCGCCAATCTCTCTATCCCCATCCTTTGTGATGGGCTGGTGTTTATTGTAGGGTCACCAAACTCCTGGTGTTTATTGTAGGGTCGCCAATCTCTCCATCCCTGTGAGATGGAGATGGTGAGAGATCCCGGGATTTTGTCCCAGTGTGTTGGGGTTTTTTTCCCAGGATTTAGGAGGTTGGAGGGCTCCTGGTCCCCATCCCGTGTGTCCCTACAGGTCTACGAGTCGGAGCTGGAGGAGGTGGAGGAGTTCGAGCACCTCTGTGATTTCTGCCACACCTTCCCCCTGCTCCGGGGCCGCAGCCGCGACTGCAGCGACGACCCCTCGGTCGTGGGAGAGTTCAAGGTGGGAGCGAATCCCAATCCCTGGAATTTCGGGGGCTGGGAGGGCCCTTCCAGCCCAAACCATTCCATGGTGCCGGGAATTATGGGAGTGGTGGTTGTCCCAACCATGGGAGTGTCCAAGAATAGGTTGGAGCAGCCTGGGATGGAGGAAGGTGTCCCTGCCCGTGGAATTGGATCTTTAAGGTGCCTTCCAACCCAAAGCATTCCAGGATTCTGGAGCCAGGCTGGGAGAGCTGGGGGGGTTCCCCTGGAGAAGAGAAGGCTGCAGGGAGAGCTGAGAGCCCCTTGCAGGGCCTGAAGGGGCTCCAGGAGAGCTGGAGAGGGACTGGGGACAAGGGATGGAGGGACAGGACACAGGGAATGGCTTCCCACTGGAAAAGGGGAGATTTAAATGGGATATTGGAAGGAATTCCTGTCTGTGAGGATAGTGAGGCCCTGGAATGAATTTCCCAGAGAAGCTGTGGCTGCCCCTGGATCCCTGGAAGTGTCCAAGGCCAGGTTGGAGCCCCCTGGGCTGGTGGGAGGTGTCCCTGGGTGGAACTGGATGGGATTTAAGGTCTCTCCCATCCCAACTCATTCCAGGATTCCATGAATCCATTCTGGCTTCAAGCTGCCAGAGGGCAGGGTTAGGTGGGATATTGGGAAGGAATTCCTGGCTGTGAGGGTGGTGAGGGCCTGGGATGACATTCCCAGAGAAGCTGTGGCTGCCCCTGGATCCCTGGAAGTGTCCCAGGCCAGGCTGGATCCCCCAGGATATTGGGAGGTGTCTCTTCCCACACTGGCCCAAGACGACCTTTGAGGTCCCTCCCAATCCAACCCATCCCATCCCACGATTCCATGATCCACGTCCCACCATCCATTGCTCCTGAACTCCGGTGTCGTTCCCAGGGTTCCTTCAGGATCTACCCCCTTCCCGAGGATCCGCGGGTGCCGGCGCCGCCCCGGCAATTCCAGCAGCTCCCGGCGCGGGGCCTCCAGGAATGTCTGCTCCGGGTCTACATCGTCCGGGCCTTCGACCTGCAGCCCAAGGACTCCAATGGGAAGGTATCCCAGGATCCCAGGATCCAGTATCCCGATATCCTGGTGGGAATGCGCCGCTGGGCTCCGGGGGCGGGATCTTGGGACGGATTGATTAAAATTGACCAAAATCCGTCGATTCCGCTGAAAATTCAGGGATCTGTCCCTGTTTTCTGCCTCCGTTGGAACTCTGGGAATGCCAGAGCCAACTCTTTCTCATCCCACGGGGATTTTTCCATAGGATTGGTTCAAATATGGAAATGGGTTTTGGATTTTTAGCGGGTTTTTTAGGGATTTTGGTGCCAAAGGGCGACAAAATTCTCTCCTTTGCCAGTGTGGAAGGAAAATTTAAGGCAAAAAGGAAATTAGGTCTTTATTTTATTTTATTTTATTTTATTTTATTTTACTTTATTTTATTTTATTTTATTCTATTTTATTTTATTTTATTTTATTTTATTTTATTTTATTCTATACTATTTTATTCTACACTATTTTATTTTATTCTACCCTATTTTATTTTATTCTATACTAGTTTATTTTATACTATTTTATTTTATTCTACACTATTTTATTTTATTCTATACTATTTTATTCTACACTATTTTATTTTATTTTTTTAATTTTATTTTATTTTATTCGATACTATTTTATTTTATTCTATTCTATACTATTTTATTTTTTCTATACTAGTTTATTTTATCTTATTTTATTTTATTCTATACTATTTTATTTTATTCTACACTATTTTATTTTATTCTATACTATTTTATTTTATTCTATTCTATACTATTTTATTTTATTCTATACTATTTTATTTTATTCTACAGTATTTTATTTATTCTACAGTATTTTATTTTTTTTATTCCATACTATTTTATTCTATTTTATTTGTTCATTCTGGGTCACTTTGCCCCCCCCAAAAAATATCTCAGGGAAAGGCCCTTTTTAACTGTCTTTGTTCCCACTTGGAAACAGGGGAAAAGTTAAGGAAAACGATGGGAAATATTTGAATAGGTGAAGAAAGAGACATGAAATATAGAGAGGAAATAATATAGATATGAAAGATATTAAATATATGCGAGAAATATATGAAAAATATTATATATATGAAATATATGAAATAGATATGAAATATATATGTGAAAAATAGGAAAATTTATATATATGAAATATATATATGAAAAATAAGAAAATTTATATCTATGAAGTATATATGAAATATATATATTTGAAAATAAGAAAATTTATATCTATGAAGTATATATGAAATATATATATTTGAAAATAAGAAAATTTATATATATGAAATATATATGAAATATATATATGAAAATAAGAAATTTATATCTATGAAGTATATATGAAATATATATATGAAAATTAAGAAAATTTATATCTATGAAGTATATATCAAATATATATATATATGAAAATAAGAAAATTTATATATATTAAATGTATATGAAATATATATGAAATCTATATGAAATACATGAAAAAATGTATTAAGAAAATGAAACTGCTTTTTAACCTGCCCAGTTTTTAAAAATGGGTTTGGAATGAAGTTTTTCCAGTCCTTGGGAATCTCCCATAAGTGACTCCTGGGGATTAAAAATAAATAGAGAAAAAGCTCTTTTTTCACCCTGAAAACCCCAAACTGACCCGAATTTCTGGCCCTTGAGTCAGTTGAACCCCTTTTTAAAGGAATGCTGGTTTTCCAAGATTTATGGAACTGTGAGAGGGGTGGGGTTTGGAGCATCCTGGGCTGTGGAAGGTGGGACTGGATGGGATTTAAGGTCCTTCCCACCCCATTCCATGATTCCCTGTCTCTTGCTCCACCCCCTCAGTGCGATCCCTACGTGAAGATTTCCGTGGGAAAGAAATCCATCAACGACCAGGAAAATTACCTGCCCTGCACCCTGGAGCCTGTCTTTGGGAAGTAAGTGTGGATTCACTTTGGGAAGTAAGTGTGGATTCACTTTGGGATCCAGGGGAATTTTTTAATGTCACGTTGAGGGAATTGTGCTGGATGAGCCAGAGCTTCCCGTTCCAAGGTTGGATGAGGTTTGGAGCAACCTGGGATAGTGGAATCAGAGGGATTCCCATGAATCCCAGAGGGAATCAGAGGGATTCCACCCCCCCCATGGCAAGGGGTGGAATCAGAGGGATTTTAAGGTTCCTCCCATCCAATGGATTTTAAGGTTCTTCCCATCCAAACCATTCCATGATTCCCTTGGCTCTTGTCCATCTTCTCCCTGGGAATTCTGGGCTGTGGGATTGGGTTTGCTCTGTCATCAATGGACACACCCAGGAGGGACGTTTAGACCTGGAATTCCCTTGGGGAGGAATAATCCTCATCCCACTGGGAATAAAGGGAGTCCAGGGAACTTTTGCTCCTCGTTTAGGGAATTTGGTTCGATGTCTGAAGGAAAAATGGGATGGATGGAGACCTGTTTGGGGCTGTGGGATGGGACACCTCCAAATGGGATGCCTTGGAAAAGAGTTATCCATAAACATGGTTTCCTGAGGCAGTTCCTGCCAGTTCAGGCTGCCAGTGACACCTTCCCAGCAAAGCTGGATGGACAGGGAGAGGAGTTCAGATGGGATATTGGGATGGAATTCCTGGCTGGGAGGGTGGGGAGGGGCTGGGATGGAATTCCCAGAGAAGCTGTGGCTGCCCCTGGATCCCTGGAAGTGTCCAAGGCCAGGTTGGAGCCACCTGGGAGAGTGGAAGGTGTCCCTACCCGTGGAACTGGATGGGCTTTCAGGTCCCTCCCAACCCAAACCATTCCATGATTCCGTGATAAACTGAACCAACACGGCACAGCCCTGGCACTGTTGGATGTTGGGATGAAGAGTGGATCCATCCCACTGGAGTGTTGGGATGGGGAGTGGATCCATCCCACTGGAATGTTGGGATGCGAGTGGATCCATTCCCAGTGGGGTGTTGGGATGGGGAGTGGGTTCATCCCACTGGAGTGTTGGGATGGGGAGTGAGTCCATTCCCACTGGAGTATTGGGATAGGGAGTGGGTCCATCCCCATGGGTGTGTTGGAATGGGAGTGGATCCATTCCCACTGATGTGTTGGGATGGGGAGTGGGTTCATTCCCAGTGGGGTGTTGGGATGGGGAGTGGATCCATTCCCACTGGAGTGTTGGGATGGGGAGTGGATCC